TCCTGGGATTTGAACCAGCAACCTTCCGATCATAAGCACCGCATCCTGAGCGACACACCACCTCCCCACATGAATACAATACAATACAATACATTTATTTTTTATATAGCAGGTTTTGTCCCAAAGCGCTTTACAGGGTTGTGTTGTGATACATAAAACATAATTAGAGAGAGATACAGAATGGGAAAAAGGAAAGAAAGAAACTGAATAAAGAAAGCCAGAAGAAAACGGAACCAAGAACTCCCAAGTAGGGAGAAAAAAAACCTCTGAAAACAGAAAAGAGTGGAATTGCTTACTAAAAGCAAGGTGTACGCTGTGATTAAGGATCAAGCCAAAGTCCATCAATGAGTCCGTTATCCATGTTGGCCAGTGAAGGGTGGCACTGAAAGCTGCACCACGATGATTCAGATTCATACGTCCCATTTGCGGTGTCACCCCTCCATGGGACATGAGTGATACGGCTCCAGACCCAGATGGGACTTAAGCCTAAAATCATCAGCTCCAGCGGCTGGTGCCTTATTCATGGGGTCGCTGGGTCAATTTATTTGCCTCGATTTTCATACATGAAGTGACCCCTTTGTTGTGTGACCCCTTCATCCTCACTCCCCTTCAAGATCCCAGAATCTCTGAGGGGGGGTCTTAGGAAGCACGCTTCACTTGTACCAAAGCAATAGATTTCACAATATGCATATTATGTATTAGTTTATTGTGCAGCAGGCATCCAGTGGTCATTTTTTTCTTGGGGGGGGGGGTCAGATCCTCACGGTGGAGCTTCCCGCACTGACTTGTGGGATATGCCAGCGTTAAGCAGCAGTGTCACCGCGGTAAATCCCGCTGTTCCGCTCCACAGGCCCCAAGTAGTGTGAATGTCGCTGCGAAAATCCGCTTTTCATATTCGCCATCTCATTCACCAAATGCAGCCATTTTTTGCAGAATGTGGGAGCCTACCCCCACACTCCCCTCCCCCCCCCCGGCTCTCGTTCAAGTCTTTCAAGGGGTATATTTTTTTTTATTCTTTATTTTTATCTCTGTCTGCAGTTGCTAAAAGAAAAAAACTGTGTAATCTAGTAATTTAAGCCGTTGGTGGTGCATTTTAAGTGTGGGGGGGGGGGGCAATGGACTTGATTGCGTCCCCACATTAGGAGCTACAGCGGTCTCAGGAGTGTCATCCAGTGGTATTCTTACCAGTATAGATGCAGGGTCCAATCCCGTTAAGTGCCCGAGTCCTGCCACCGGGAATGTTTGAATGCAATGAGATCTTTATGGGGGTTTCCCTCTGGGTCGTACTGCTATACTGCCAGACCATGTAACTGGTTTTAAGGGTCTCATACTGTTAAAAGAACCAGCCGCATTTCTTGCGTGCGCTTCCTGCAGTGCCGCAGCCACTGTAGCAGGCGCTTTCATCGGCGACGGCCCCATGCCCACTTTCATATATCAGGTCTGTCAAGCTACCCCCTACTTGCCAGGGCTGCTCAGCCCTCCCACATTGCGCCTCCATTATTGCGCTGAGCCCATGTAGTTCAGTGCGCATTAGTGTAATTGCGTCCCCAAGCGCTTGCCGGAACTCAGCCCCGCCCCCCCCCCCCCCTCTTGAGCCACAGTGCCAGACCAGAGTTAGAATGGGGAGCCTTGGATGTTCATTAAAAGCTCAGAGCCATGAGGCAGCCGGGGGGTAGGGTCATCGGATGCAAGCAAGAATGCGGTATATTGGATGGGACAGTTTTGGCTTCACCGGTGCGAATGAGATCTGACCTGTGGATATCAGGAGACAAAAGTGACCCTCTGTCTGGGCTTTCTGATGATTACACTGGCTACCAGAGTGAAAAAAAATCATGGTCACCTGGCAGAACAACCAAAATCAAGCATTACATGCAGTAGGCGTGCTTGCAAATGTGGGCAACGCCTCTTCTTGCAACGGCACTCAAACGGCATGCTCTACTCCATCAGGTTTTGCCCCACAGAACATTGTCATGGGAACAGGAACTTCCCAAATAACCTGTCCCCTCCTACCTGGGCTTCCTGTTTTGTGAAATGGGCCTGGAGCTTCTGTCAGGATAGCTTCTATTATCCAGAGTTTTAAAAGGTTGCTTTTATGCAACCTCTACAGACATTTTTCCTTTAAAAAAAAAAAAAAAACAGATCTTGCTGACTTGTACTTGTAATCGCAAATGATGGAGCAAGCGGCTACTTTCTAATTGGCTATGGAGCTGAACAGGGCGTGGCTCTAAGACAGGGCCATTTATGACATGGATTCGGCTTCAGTTCCCCTCGCCTGCGAATCCCTCATTTCCCGCATACTCCTTCCCTCACGATTTTTAATGCCCTTATTCTCTCAAATGCACCGTTAAGCCATCCATCATTAACCAAACGCTCCCCCGTTTCAGGCCCTAATGATGTAGCCTTTAATGAGATGTGTTTGCCACAATGAAAATCTCCAATAAACGAGTGGGATTCTCTCCGTTTTGCCAACGTTAACACCATTAGCGGGAGTTCCGGGGGGGGGGGATTCTCAAGACTCATTTGTTCTGGACAAATTAGCATATCGCTAATATGAGCTTTAGCATGGATGCTCTGGCCCCCATGAGGACTTCCTTATCTACTCCCCGGGCTGGGACAGCTGTACCCCAAACAGCTGGAAGCCCAAGACCGGTAAGAGCCCACTCCCCCAGCCAAGTCCCTCACTCTGATGGAGATGACCCCCTAATGAATCATTTCCCTCAGAAAAACACATCTAGTGAGGTATGCACCTGCCGGAGCAAGCAGGGTCTTTGAGTAGGACCAGAAAAAATAATCTCAGATGATGACACATTTGGCTGAATGAATCGATAGTCGAACAACCACAGTTCTGTCAGTAATGATCTCAACTTGGAACAATAGACCGGAACCTCAATACATATCACAGGGACAGTACATTAAAGGCAACTTTGATGGTTGGTTCTGCTGGGCTCGGCGGTGCTGATGAGCGCCATCTCAAAGGCTGACCTCTGGACTGATAAGGGAATGATTGCACGGTGGCACTACGTCTCTCGCGCCAAATCTTGGCTGCTTTTTGGCCGAGGAACGGGCAAAATCGAAGTGACTCCTTTCCCGCCGCCGGCGCAGCCCCGTCACCGCGGAGCTGTGATAGCTGGTGAATTTAAATTCAGATCCCTACACACAGCATGCCAGGCTGAGACGGGAGGGAGGGGGGGTTTGGGCTGGCATACGATTGCGGGAGGACTGGGGGAGCCAGTCGGTTAATTATTTCACTGGGTGGGTGGTTACTTGCTGGGTTAGCTGGACTTTCAATTCCCACACATCGGGGCTCTTATTGAAATGAGCAGATGGGGGCCCAGGCTCGCAGACTGACTGTGACTCCGGGGGATGAAGCTGGAGGGCCGGTAGGACCCGATAACATGCCGTGTCTGTGATCAGAAGGTCACTGGCTTGAATCCCAGCATTAGCAGAGTGGTGTCATTGTTGGGACCTAAGCAAGGTCCTTATCCCCAAATGGGACTAGCTGACCCTGCTTGTGCACATTGCGTTGGACAAAAGTGCCTATAAATAAATAAATGTAGATTAGATGAGGAGGGTCTAGTTTTCATACCGCCGGTACCCTGTCAGGTCCCAACCTGAGCTATTCCACATGAGATCTTCTCTGACACCTGGGCATTTTGTTAAACTGCTGGTTCCGTTTGCCTATCCAGCGAGTGGCAGCATTTCGCTGTTTTGAAGCCCTGCCCACTCACCTTCTCCTCCACTTGAGTGTGGCGAGACAATGTTTTTCTGAATAGTATGAGCAGTTTGCCCTAGTTGTTTTATCTAAGCTGTATTGTTTGATCCATTTCTGGAGAAATGCAAAAAGAGTCGACCCTGTGATGTTTGTTTCTCGATTTTTCCGGCATATTTTAGTCTCCGGATCAGCTTCTCCCGTTCATACTTAATGGTCTTGCTTCCTGTTATTGTCTCATGTGGCCCAACATGGCAAGATCACCAGGACCTCCACACGGCCTCAGCAGTGCCTCAGGGCGACTGAATCAGCATGTTATGTTGCAATTACAACACGCCATTACAGTCTCCAGGTTAATTAAGCTCTTTAATTAAATTCTGTGTTTTCCTATATTAATAACATCGTGCCTGTTTTATTATTTGTCTCTCAAAAGCAAAATGATCAGTTATTTTTTTCCCCTCAGAAAAGTCTCGAAAGGCAGTCGATCAATGCGCTGGGCTGGGAGGGCGGAGCTTGCGAATGCAGTAAGTCACGTACCTTTGAAATAGCACCATAAAAGGGAATGTTTGGGCCATGTCTGGGGCGTTGCTGGCTTATTCCAGTGACGCTGGGCTCCAGAGGGGTGCACGGGGGGGGTTTCAGCAAGACTCTGGGCTCCAGAGGGGTGCACGGGGGGGGTTTTAGCAGACCAGCAAGACTGGGAGAAAGAAAAATAAAATTAACACGACTGATGGACTGTTACCCTGTGGGCCCCGAACTTGGTGGAACTACCCAAGGAATTATAAGGTTTTATGACCTTGGAAAAATTTATAATTCTCATTCATTTCATTTCTGTTAAATGCAGGTGGGCAGGTGGATGGATGGATGGACAGATTGACTGATAGAAACCTTTATTGTCATGGTAATTAAACAAAGTTAAAACACTTTAAAGGTTAGGGTTGCAGAGGTATTAGCTCTCAGGTAGAAGCTGTTGTGGTTTTGATTGTCCAGTATCTTTGTCCGAGATGGAGGGGAAAAAGAGAGTGTCCAGCGTGCGCTGAGTCCTTGATAAGCCATCAGCCCTCTTTTGGAGTTGCCCAGTATAATTGTCTTCTGCTGTTGGGTGTGTGGTGCCAGTGACTCGCTGAGCTGTCTTCACCACACGATGTAAATCCTTTGTGTGATGCAGTGCAGTTGGAATAACATACTGCAGCAGCAACACAGGATGGTCTCAGTGGTGCCCCCCCCCCCCCCCCCCCCCCCCC